CATATATGATTAAAAAAAAATTAAAGAGTTGATAACAAAGGCAAATTAGCGAATAGTGATATACTCTCTCTCTTTTTCCTTTTTTTTTAATACAACGTGTTGGGGAAGGAGATTCGAACTCGCAACCTTGTGGTTGGAGGTACATGCCAATTACCGTTGAATTATGCTTACTTTGACACTCTCTTTTTCTGTGATAATTCACAGTAGTTATATATATTGTCATGTTAACTTATTACTAGTCAAAAATTTTCAAATAATTTAATTTGAAGTTTCTTTCTCATTTAAAAAAAAAAAAAAGGGAAGTCCCCCCTTTGTTTATGAGCAAATTATTCAATATGGTTGACAATTACATTTTTTAATAAGAGAGAAAAAAATCATGCATAAAAATATATAACTTTTTTGTAATAATAAATGTATAAAGGATCTTTGTTGAAATTTGAAAGATATACATCAAAATAATTTTTGTAGCAAGAGGGGTTTGTTTATGTTTGCCAAAAATTAAAAGAAATTATTCCCTTTTAGTGAATCTTTAAAGAGTTTTTCTTCTTTAAATAAAATTTCCCAATTTAATGATTGTGTTAAGTCAATCACTACTATTATTTCCTAACAACTTTTTTTCTACTATTATCTACACCAATCTGTTAAAAAAAAAATCCTAACCATATGCATTTTGCAAACATAACTATCATTAGAATAATGGACCACTGATTTTCATCCTTTACAAATCCTATTTAGTTTTTGAAATAATGGAATGTAGAAAAGCAATTCAATGGCTAACATCACAATCAAATTTTATCATAACCTTTTTATGAAATAATTAGATAATTTACAATTAATCTGGCATGAAAGGAAATTAAAAAAAAAATTACTCAAATTTGACCAAAATGTATTACATTTTGAAAGACTATATTTTATGATATTAAAAATGATAGATTTTTTAGAGTCTTTCGATCCCTGCAACGGCCTTTGATTAAGGAAGGGAAGAGTGAGTTACTCATCACAAGGAAAGAATGATGGAGAAGAGAATGAGGTACTAGAACGACATACTAGTGGGATTTAATAAGAAATATATATATATATATATATATATATATATATATATATATATATATATAACTCCCTCTAGAAATTTACCTCCCACATGTTTTGTTTATAACCATGCTAGTTTTGAGTTATTCTAAAAGTGGAGAGGTTATGTTGAAATTTGTACTTTTGATTATTTGTTTTTTGAGTTTAAGGTTAGTTCTTGAGTTAAGTTTTAGAAGATCATGATGTTGAAATTAGTTTTACTTGCCTATTAGTTTTTGAGTTTCAATAATATTGAGAATTATTTTGTGAGAATAGGTTGGAAGGAGATATATTTGTTGGTTAGTTTTGAGTTATATTCTAAATTGGAGAGGTCATGATGAAATTTGTACTTACTGTTAAGCTTTTATAGAATAGGTTGGAAGGGAGAGATATATTGTTGGCTAGTTTTGAGTTATTCTAAAGGTGGAGAGGTTATGTTGAAATTTGTACTTTTGATTATTTGTGTTTTGAGTCTAAGGTTAGTTTTTTAGTTAAGTTTTATAATAGATATTGTTTTATAATGGATGAATGTGTTAAAAGTTTTAGTTGCATATTGAGATATTATCATAGGTTTGAAGGAAATATATATAGTTGGTTAGCCACGTCTGGGCAACCAAATATTTTTTTAATTAATTTATTCACAAAATAATGACGGTCAATGCCTGTCACGAAATATAGTCATTCCATGACGAACATACGATGGCGTACAAACAATGACGCACATACAATGTCGGTTGTCACCCGTCATGGTTATCATTTTCATGACGGGCATGTCCGTCATGGAAAAAGCTATACATGACGGGCGCTGTCCGACCTTAAAATAGTCCTTTCGTGACGGTCATGTCCGGATGGAAAGAGAATATACATGACGGGCAATGCCCGACCTTAAAATTGTCCGACATGAAAGTGAAACAAGGACACTCGTATAGATGTCGGTCAGTGACTGACATGATTATTATTTAATGACGGGCAATGCCGGTCATGAAAAGACAAATTTGTTGTAGTGTTAGTTCATAATTCACAGACTAAATATATATTTTTTTAACCTCAACTTTTGAATTGTTTTTCAATTTCGGTTCCTAATATTTTAAATGTTTTAATTTCGTACCAAATCTTGATGCCTACTAAATATTTAAAAAATAATTATGAGTATGACTTTATAAATATTGATTTTTTTGTACTTTTCATTAATCAGGAGTATTTCAATATTTTAATGAGTCAATTTCAATTAAAGTAGATTACTACGTACTAAATTAAATTATATGGAATGAGTAAATTTTAATGAATGGTATGATGTGTATTTCATCAAATTTAACTATAAAGTTCTTCTTTTACCTAAATCAATAAAGTTTATTTTTTCATTACATCATCATTTTGTTAATTAATTTTAACATTTTGTGACAATAAGAATTTAATTTAAAGAACTTTCAATACGTTATAGATGCAATTAAAAATTTTAAAACATCATGTATCACACCGAAAATTTTAAACTTTAGTCTTATGTATGGAATGTAATGAGCAATATATTGACCTTCACCTTAAATTACAGATAACTTACATTATTTAATTGTAGTTTAACCTTCACAAATCAAGTTTATTGAGGATTAAAGGACCATTTGGTGATATTGCAAAAGGGAAAGGGCTTTATGGTCATTTTAACAAAAGGATATATTGGCTGGATGACCCTTGATGTTTCTATATTTTAATTTTACAAAAACCGTTGGATACATATTTCGTCTTAATTAAGTAAAAATATAAAAAATATATGTATTAAAAAATAAATAAATAAACTGTTTGACATCCTTATAAAGATAAAATATTCATGTTTGTAATATAAAAATTTTAAATATATTTTATTTTGGCTCTTACAGTTATTTATTTTATAATTAAAAAAAATCACCACACAGCATAATTTTAATATGTTTTACTTTTTGGAATATTATTATGAATTGTATTTGTATTGTAACACTTTAATAGAAGAACCTTGAATTGGTAGTATCCAAACCATAAAGAGGAGACATTAATGTCTAACCACTTAAAATTTAAAACTATATTAGAATTCAATTATATGTTGTGAGAATATCACAACATATAATATTATTTCATAAATAAAAAAATAAAGATTAAAAGCTAAATATTTTTGGATGGGCAAAAATATCTTAACAGGTACGTTAAGATTTAAACTCATGACCTCTGGGTTAAAAGACAGATGCTAATTACCGCTAAGTTAAGTTCATATTGGCACCCTCGAGTTGAATTTGAACTATATTTAGTCTTTTTATAATATTTGAATGGTAACATCTAAATTAATGTCTAAAAATTCATTAATTAGGGAAAAAAAGTATTT